GAGGCCGAACACATGGCAATCTTCCTTTCTCCTCACAACAAACCTGTGAAGTAAGTCAGCTGAGAGAGAATGACTGACCCAAAGTCACCCAGGACCTTGAACTTGGATCTTCCAAGTTCTAATCCAGCACTTTAGCCAGCATTAACACACCAATTTATCACCAGGCCAATACAGAAACACAAAGTATGTATATACCATTCAGAAAAGCAACATTCTATTCTCTAGTTTTCCTGTTCCTATGACTGTCTAAGAAGATAATTCTACAAGCAATCTCAAATGGTCACCTCCTTCTATGTATGCCTTTGATACACTATGTCAGCCAAACATAGTGTGTTTCTAGATTACCCAGCATGAAAGCAAACATGAACAATTCATATTGCTGTAGCAACTTCATAAGGCAATTAGGAACACTTCAATGCCCTGGCGCCGACGCTGATGACATTTCGGCGCCAGGTCAAAACCTTCCTGTTCCAGAAGGCTTTTAATTAAAATAATATCAACTGTGGGTCCTAATGGCAATTTTTAGAGTATATATTTTAATTGTATTTTAATTGTCTTATCTTTTTATTGTATTTTAATTGTTGTAAGCCGCCCAGAGACCTTTGGGTAGTGCAGGCGGCATATAAGTTAAATAAATAAATAAATAAGATAAAACAAAACTGGTCTCTCCTGATAGCTGGGCATTTTACAGGACAGTAGCTGAAGTAGATGCTTTTCAATATACATCAGGAGTGCTGTATTTGTCTCAAAGTAACTGTCATTCAGTTTAATTGTGTGAGAACGTTATATATTCTTGTAACCCCCACATGTTCTTTCAACCAAGTTACTTCACTGATAATCTCTGCTGCTAAACAGGTTTTCATTCTTCTTAAAATGAGATACATACAGGTGTCCCAATTCCTTCTTCTCTCCTAGCACAATATGTGCTTCTCTGCACACATAACTGCAAACAAAATCCAACCACTGGTCTCAAATACTGTATTTTTCCATGTATAAGATGACCCAATGTATAAGACGACCCCCACTTTCCAACCCCAAATAAGAAAATGTGATCGCTGCTCTTCCCCCTCCACTTCCTAAGCCTCACGAAAGCAGGATCAAAGGGCTGCAGAAGTGGAGGGGGAAAGCAGGAATCTTAGGAAGTGGAGGGGTAAAGCAGCCCTTTGATCCTACAGCCATTTCACGGCTGCTTTACCCCACCATTCAGGGCTTAGGAAATGGAGAGGTAAAGCAGCGATGAAAGGGCTGCAGGATTGCAGCCCTTTGATCCTGCAGCCCTTTCGCTGTTTTACCCCTCCATTTCCTAAGCCCCGCTGTGTGCATGCACACCCCACTCCGGATCCGCTTGCAGGCGATGAGGAACAGCGCCCACTGCTTCAGATCTGTGAAGCAGTAGCAGCAGAAACGGAGGGGGTGGGTCCTGGCACGGAGGTGCCTCCTGACCCCACTGATGAGCACAGCGTAGGCAGTTTTGCTACAGCACAGTTTTCTCCTTGGTTTACTTCTGTGTAAAAGATGACCCTCAATTTTTCCTCCAATGATTTTAGGAAAAAGTATCACCTTTTACATGGAAAAATACGGTACCACTGATCTACTGAATCAATTGCTGAATATGCCAACATGATGTAAATCTCATTCAGTCAATGGATCTACTCTAGTTGACAACCTTTAGGTCTTTTTTTTAAAGGCCTGAATTTAGCCTTATAATTTGTCAAACTGGATTTAGGCCTAGATTCCCCACCCCTGCTATAAAAGCAATTTCTGTTTGGCCCCCATGGCTCCTCTTGCCCATGTAGTAGAAACACAAAGCTTTGGTGTTGGTGAAGTTGCGTGTATTGACTGATAACAAAACAGATCCAAAAAATCTGCAGAATACTATGAGCGTCAATAAGTTGTGGTGAGTTTTAGAGCTGATACACATAAGTTTCATTAGACAGATAGCGACTGAAATCCTGTTTTGCATCTCCACATTGGCAATGGAAATGACATAATAATGAGTGGTAAATGAATCGCCACTGATTAAAGGTGATTTGGGGGTGCATGTGACTTGCACACAATATGATAAAGTTGAGTGCGCCCAAAATCCCCAAAGGAGGCCTTTAATCAGCAACTACCGTGTTTCCCCAAAGATAAGACAGGGGCTTATATTAATTTTTGCTCCAAAAAACACATTAGGGCTTATTTTCAGGATATGTTTTATTTTTTCATGTACAACAATCTACATTTATTCAAATACAGTCATGTCATCTTCTTCTAGTTGCTGCACAATGGTAGAGGGCGGGGTTTCACTCATCGTGATCGTTTAGTCGTGTCTGACTCTTCATGACCCCATGGACCAGAGCACGCCAGGCCCTCCTGTCTTCCACTGTCTCCCGGAGTTGGGTTAAATTCATGTTGGTTGCTTCGATGACACTGCCCAACCATCTCATCATCTGTCATCCCCTTCTCCTCCTGCCTTCACACTTTCCCAACATCAGCGTCTTTTCCAGGGAGTCTTTCACTTAACTGGGGTTTCACTTAACTGGGGCTTATTTTTGGGGTAGGGCTTATATTACAAGCATCCTGAAAAATCATAGTAGGGCTTATTTTCAGGTTAGGTCTTATTTTGGGGGGAACAGGGTATTTGCCACTCCTGATGACATCATCACCACTGCATGCATGAATCTGTATACAATTCCAGCCACTGTGTAGCAATATTAGCTGAAACAAAGCCAATGAGAATGAGAACATGCTTTTCGAAGCCCATGATGTATGCCAAGAACTAATATTAATGAAAGGTGTGAGGGTGACATAGCAGAATTAGCTTAAGAGAATACTTTGCTTTTGCTACTCCAAACAGTAGTATGCAATATGCAGGCTCCCTTTCTGCATTTCAGGATCAAACCAAATGTTAGCTAGATCAAGCTATTAACTTCAAGATTTCCTCAAAAGACAGGTGTCATAGCAATCAGATATGCAAATGAATATTACGTCCCAATGACCAATCATAAAACAAAGCATGCTAAACTCAGGACATACTGTTGAGAAAAATTATGTACTGTAAAACTTTTCACCATCTGAGACAGGAATTCTTCTAAAATCTGCTAGTGTCTACTCTGACCCTAAACCAAAGGCACGCAGGGGAAAATATCACCACTAAGATGAGTCTGAATTGGCAATTGATACATTGCTTACTGGTACTCCACTTCAACACCATGACTGGGGAAACAATAAAGCCATGGTATTTTTCCTAAGAAGCCCCATCAGAACATTTCCTTCTTATATGCATCTGCATTTATTTATTGATTTATTGATTCATTTAGCCTAAAGACCCTGCGACTTAGCAAAATTGTGACTTGGGGTGGTTTACTAAATTTAAACTATGCAATTAAAAAGAAGAAACTCACCTCCCAACTGTCAAATTAACTGAAAGGCAAACATCACCTGACACTAGCAACAAACATCTAACAGAACAGATCAAAAATAAATAAATAAAATCCAATACAACAAATGAAAATGATAAAACATCAATCCAAAAAATGAAATACTGTATAACGAGTCACAGAATCAATATCAGATGTTGCCAAAGACCTCCCTCGACAGTTTGGTCTTCAATAATTTTCTAAATATCTATAGGGAGGGGGTCTGTGTCTAGCCCAGCAAATCTGGAAGTCATCACACTAGAAACAGTCCACTGGTCTTCAACTGTTTGATGATTACCCCCTCCTGCAGGAGCAAAATGCAGCCCTCCAGATATTGATCAATTGGAACGTTCAGGATTGCTCACTGCTGGTTCTGGATGATGAGAGCTGCAGTCCATTAACAGCTGTGGGCAGCTGCCAATCCACTACACTACTGGATCACAGTTTAAAACAGGTTACATTAGCAATACAACTATCAAAAGAATGGGAAACTGTTAAGAAGTGGATGTGTGAGCTTAAAATGTTCCTAGGTCTCAGACTGAGAAAGCTGAAGACTACTACAGTATATAAACCATGTGAATCAAGAAACTAGGAGGGTTTGGGCAGCTGTGGTTTTCCAAACCTTTCTGATCTATAGCACCCACTGATGCATAATACAGTACTATCACTGGCCTACAGCTGATGTACACCAAATCATCTGGAGGACCACTGTTGCTAATCATGAACCCAGCTGCTGATCACCACACCATGGTTCACAATTTCTCCAGATAAGTTTATTTTTAAATTTAACCTGAAATTGCTGACATTGGGCAGCACAAGCAATTAGTCTGAGGGAAACATGGAAACCCAGAGAATTAAATCAAGCTGGAGTTGGGGGGGGGGGAAGGAGTGCTCAAGCCTTTGGCTTGTCCTCCATCCCAAGATTTGGAGATCTAGAATCTGACCTTATCCCTAGAATGGTGAGAATGCACGTGATTATGGTTCAGAAAGACTAGATTTACTTAGCACACCCACATGGATGCCCTGCTTCTCTGACAGCTATAAACAATGGAAGTCAACAGGTGAAGCCTAACTCTTCTGGCCTCCTGCTCGTTGCCTACCTGAACTAGATATGCCAGGTTGTCAGGTTGAGAACTACTGCCTAACCCTTTTCGAGCAAGAAATGAAGAGGCCCTTGCCGACCAAACCCGTGGTGTGTAAACCCACTGCAAAGTGTGGCTTCATAGTCAGCGCCCTATCTGTTGCGCTTCTGCCTGTCCAGGAGTTGGGCCCCTCTTCTCCTGCACCCCCCCCATGGCCCTTGGCAGAGCTCCTGAGGCCCGGACGGCCTGAGCCCTTGGACCCTTCACTTGCTTCTGTTTGTTTTGATGCCTCGTCGCCGGCCCTTCCCCCACCCCCCGCTCGGTGACGTCACACACATACACACACACACACCGAGAAACCTGGGTAAGGGGCCATCGCCCGGCGGAGCCTGCGCCCGCCCCCTCGCCCCAAATGCCGATGGAGGGGTCGGTTGGCGGGGGAAGGAAAAGAGAAGGGGGAAGTGGTGCGGGCGTCGTTGTGATGTGTGTGTGGCGCCGTGGCCCTTCCGTCACTCACCGAAGTCCAGGAACTGCTTGATCGAGAGCGGCGACGGAGAAAAGCGAGAGTAATACTCGATCTGTTTAGGGACGGGGCTCTTCAGGAGCGCCCCGCACAACCGCATGGTCGGTCCGTGGGTGGCGCGGGCGGGCGGGCGGACTGGCTGGGCAGGGGGGGTAATAGTGATGTTTAGGGACAGAGCTTTCTTTTCACAGATTCAGTCATACACACAAGCAGTCGCCGCCGCCGGGAGAACCGGCCGAGCAACCGTCTGGCGCGGCGGCGCGTGCCGTGCCTCACGCACACAAACACCGGGAGGAGGAGGAGGGGGGAAGGCTCGCAACAGCCCCAACGGCTCGGCCCTTCCTCGCGGTCAGTGGGTAGCGGTCTGAGGAAGGAGGAGCCGGCGGCATGAATAGCAGCTGCCACTGCCTCCTCACAGCCGTGCCCCCTTTTATCTTAAACGGGCCGGCGGGCGGGCACCTTGTGCCCCGACCCCTCTGCGCGTCGTTCTGCCCGAGCCGACTCTCTAGTCTAGCCTATTTGGTGAAGGCCCGTCTTTCAGGCGTAGGCAGCTTTCTGAGTGGGCGAGAAGCAGGCGGCACCCCCACTCGGCCATCCTCTTCTTCTTTTTTCTTGCCTGGATGCCGAAGCGCCGCCTGCAATTGCCTTGACACCCCGAGCGGTGCGCAAGCGCCGACGGCTCGCCGTTTGGGGACGGGGCCTACAGCCGGCGGGGAAAGCGAAAGTGCCCCCTCGGCACCCGTATCTATATTTCCCCCCCCCCCGCGCGCGCGCAAAGCGAAAGGCGCTCACGGGCTGTGGCTCCGTCACCCCTGGTCCCCAAGGTACTTTCGTTGCTCTCCAGAAGCCTACTCTGTTTTCAGAAGCAGGGCGAGTTCTTAGTGATGCAAAGTTATCTCTAAAAGCGGGGTGTGTGTGTTAATATCCTTACTTTTTAACACTTAACCGGGGTCTGGTAACAGCCCTGATGCCTGGATTAGAACAGAATGAGAGGGCAAACAATGAATGCATGTACAAAGTAGGTCCAGTGGAAGCGAACATACAATATTTGATTTCAGGGAAAGGCTTGATTCAGTCAAGGACTAAACTGAAGCTATTATACTTTGGACGTATCATGGGAAGACTCACTGGACAAAACCACAATGAAACAAAAAGTGGAGGAAAAAGAGAAATGTAACAGAATGAACTGACTGAATAATAGAAGCCACAGCCTTTCACCTGACCAGAGCTGTTCACAATTGGCCAGTTTAGAATGTCATTAATTTTAAAATAATATTTACTGACCGTTAATTAAGCTCCAATGTACAGTGACCCTTTTTAGGGTTTTCTAGGTATGGAACACTCAAGTGGTTTCCCATTCTTCTAGGGGCATTGTACAGCATGTCCATGGTTGTACTACATAGGCAAATATAATTGGATTTGCTCTATAAAATTGATTAATTTGCTTTTTGAAAAAATGATCACAAGACACAAAGGCCAATTCAAATCAGTCTGGCCCTTTTTGCTTTGCAGTTTTTCCTTCTGTTTTTTTCAAGCTGGAATAATTTGAATTGATTTTTTCCCATGTGATCAGTTGTTTACTTCTGCAAAAGGACTGGGGGGCATGACTGTGGGTGGTGTTGTAGTGACATTGCCAGTTGGGATGTGATGTTTCAGAACCGTGGGAACACCTGCCCATAAAATCCGTCCCCTGATTATTATTAGTATTATTATTATTTCCCAATAAACAAGTGTTGTACTGAGACAGCAACAAAAACCATCCCAAAGAAAAGGAAATGCAAGAAAGCAAAGTGGTTGTCCAACGAGGCCTTTCAAACAGCAGAGAAGAGAAGGGAAACAAAATGCAAGGGAGAAAGGGAAAGTTGCAGAAAATTGAACACAGACTTCCAAAGAATAGCAAGGAGCGACAAGAGGGCCTTCTTAAATGAACTGTGCAAAGATATAGAAGAAAATAATAGGGAAAAACCGGAGATCTGTTGAAGATAATTGGAGATATTAAAGCAGGGGTGGGCAATTAATTTCTATTGGGGGGCCAAATGAAAAATCTGAACTGTGTTTGGGGGCCGAACCAACTTTAATTAAAAATAAAATGAGACAATGATGTTATGATTATTTTTATTTTAAATTTGCTAATCTTCACAAATACTAAAGAGGTTTTTTGCGGTATGTTAAAGATAAGCAACTTATCAACTTTAGACAAAAAGTTATAAATGGTTTTGCTGTTCAAAACTGACCGCGGGCCGGACAGGAGCAGCTCATGGGCTGTATGTGGCTCTCGGGCCGCACTTTGCCCTGGTCTGTATTAAACGAACATTTCGTGCAAGGATGGACATGATAAAGGACAAAAATGGTAGGGACCTTACAGAAGCAGAAGACATCAAGAAAAAGTGGCAAGAATACACAGAGGAATTATACCAGAAAGATCTGGATGTCCCGGACAACCCAGATACAGTGGTGCCCCGCATAGCGACGATAATCCGTTCTGGAAAAATCGTCACCATGTGGATTAGTCGCTATGCGGAACAAAAAAGCCCATAGGAATGCATTAAAACATGTTTAATGCGATCCTATGGGCAAAAAACTCACCGTTATGCAAAAATCCTCCATACAGCCGCCATTTTCGCTGCCCGGTAAGCGAGGAATGGGCACAAAAACACTGCAGGCGGCCATTTTTTTACCCGGTGGCCATTTTGGAACTGCCGATCAGCTGTTCTTAAAACATCGCAATGTGATCGCAAAAATGATCGCAAAAAAACATCGCTATGTGGATTTGTTGTTAAACGAGATGCCTGTTATGTGGGGCACCACTGTAGTGTGGTTGCTGACCTTGAGCCAGACATTTAATGGATAGGTTTGTTCTTGCAGTCCAGGGGAGTGAAGTCAAATGGGCCTTAGAAAGCATGGCTAAAAATCCTACAAGATAGGCTTCAGCAGTATGTGGACTGAGAACTCCAAGAAGTACAAGCTTACCTTTTTGGGCTCCATGATCACTGCAGATGGTGACAGCAGCCACGAAATTAAAAGACGCCTGCTTCTTGGGAGGAAAGTGATGACAAACCTAGACAGCATCTTAAAAAGCAGAGACATTACCTTGCCGACAAAGGTCCACATAGTCAAAGCTATGTTTTTCCAGTAGTGATGTATGACAGTGAGAGCTGGACCATAAAGAAGGGTAACCGCCAAAGAATTGATGCTTTTGAATTGTGCTGGAGGAGACTCTTGAGAGTCCCCTGGACTGCAAGGAGAACAAACCTATCCATTCTGAAGAAAATCAACCCTGAGTACTCACTGGAAGGACAGATCCTGAAGCTGAGGCTCCAGTACTTTGGCCATCTCATGAGAAGAGAAGACTCCCCAGAAAAGATCCTGATGTTGGGAAAGTGTGAAGGCAAGAGGAGAAGGGTACAACAGAGCACGAGATGGTTGGATACTAAATAACAACAATTTCATTAGCAGCACCTGGCTGCTACTTAGCTTCTTAATTCCTATAGAAGCTGATTGTAATTTTCCGTGTATAAGATGATACCTTTGTCCAAAATCTTTAGACTAAAAATTGAGGGTTGTTGTATACACAGAAGTAAGCTGAGGAGAGAACAAAAGCCACATACCTTGCCTCTGCAAACAGGTTTCCTTCATTCACAAGGCTTAGCTTCCCACAGTCAGGAGGCTTAGTTTCCTCCAATCATAAGCCTTATGGAACTGACGTCAGCTGATGCTGAACGAACCAACTGGAACACGCCTCATTGGAGGTGGAGTCTGTAGGCTGTGCTCAGATTCAACAGGGACTCGTAATGTCCGAGCCTTCTGAGTCCAGAGGTTGAAAAAGCTAAGTTTTCTTAATTTGGGTTTAGAAAAGTGGTAGGGGGCATCTTATAGACGGAAAAATACGGTAGATTTTCACACATGGCTTATCCATGTTGGCTTTATTTTTGTTAAATAAATCACAACACAGTATATTATGTATTGTTCATTTGAGGTTGTATTTACCTAATTATCAGACCTGCTAAGGAACAGATTATTTTTATTATGTCCTGATACATAAAGCCATATAATTCAAAGAGGCTGCACTTTCTTTTTCACACAACTATGTTTCTGTGGTATATATGTATATTTCTATATATATATCATGAAGAACTTTAGGAAGCTGATGCCTTTTTCCTAATATTATGCAATCCTTTGAAAAACAAGCTGCTTAACAGTGAACCAGTGAAGTGAACAGTGAAGCGTTGGCAGAGGCGGGAACAGAGGAAGGAAGGAAGGAGAGGAGGAAATGTGGGTCATGTTGGGGAACCAGCGTGGACATTGACTCTGAATCAATCCGTAGCCCCTCTGTGATCACTAAAAGCCAACTGAACTGTAGGACAGGCTGTGAATCAAACCACAATAAAGCCAAATAACTTGGCTTGCCAGTGTAGCTGAAGCCTTTGTCTCTTCAGCTGCAGAGAGAGGTGGTCCCAGCAAGAGAAAACACACTGAGAAAGATGACACTTGGTGCTGCCAATGAGTTGCAATAATGGCAAGTTTCATCATTCATCCAAGCAAGCATATTTGCAACCCCACATAGCTATATGCAGTGATAGGTTTTCTCACATGAATGTGAAGATCGGGCTTGAAGTGAAAGCTCTTAGTGAAGGTTTTGCTGCAATTGTGAAGACTGCCAATGTGGCAGACAAGCCACTTATATGACCAGGATCTATCCTTTTTTAGGCTTGGCTTTAACTATCGTGGCAGACAGAGATGGACTCAGGAAACCCAAATAGGGCAAAGGGGATAGAGTTGGATCTTTCTGGTACAGCTGGTCTCAGGCATGGCTCCTAGTACACTACTGTAGAATGAATGGTAATCAGTCAGCAGATTACAGTGCTTTGGAGGGCATGTCTAGTGGTGAGAGCTGTCTATAAGAAGTGTGGTTCCCCAGCAAAAGGTATCTAGATCTACATAAATTTCATAATTCATCTGCTAACACTGTACATGATGTCTGTGTTTTGATACTTCCCATAAGATTGTATTATGTTATCCTCTATAGTTAATATGTTGTCATCATCAAATTTCAAGTTTTGAAGCTTTTCCATTGTAGGCTTCCAAATGCACAGTTGTGTTGTAGCAACATGTGCTGTATGTTTGAATAAACCTAACACAGCTATGCAG